CTTTTGAGTGCGAGGAATGAAGTCGTCATCACTATCAGAACTAGAAGGATAAAGCTGTTGCTCCTTCAGTTTTAGTCTTGCATAAAGCCGTTTATTTTCTTCTTTTAATTTATTCCTTTCTTCTGTGAGCTCAGCAATAAGCTTCATGTTTTGTTGTTGGATACGGTCATATTCTTTCTGTAGCATCTTCCTGTATATTTCGTTCACTGAACAGCGGTCACATACTTTGGAGCGTAACTTATGTTGCAGGTCATTGATGGTGACATTCAGGATATTCCGTTGCTCCATCAACTCTTTAATTTTGGCTCTGGAGCCCATCTGCCTTCTGTCTGCCAATCGCTCTTTCCTCAGACTGGTTAGTTTCCCCTGGAGACGGCGTAGCTCCTTGTCATGGAGCTCTTTCAGTGTTAGCCAGGCTTTTTTAAAAGCGTCAGAAGACAAATCACTGACGCTAACCTGCATTTTATCTTCTGCGGGAGAGCTCTGGCCACTTTCCTTGTCTCCTCCACCCACGTTGCCCGCCTGCATCTCGTCTCCCTGACTGGGACTGGGAAACAGTGGAGACAAACCGCCGCCGGCAAAATGGCGGAAGGGCTGCTGACTAGAGCTGGGCTGCGAAAGGGATGAGAGTTTCACCCCTTCTACAGACCTGTGAAGAGGCTTCAGAGCACAAGGCCGGTGCGAGGATGGCTCGGGGGTAGACAGAAGGGCCCGCTTTGGCGGCGGAAAGGAGACCCGAGCCTCCTTTTGGCGGGAAGAGCTAGTGCGCAGAAGTAAGATGACGCCTGCAAGCCGGCCTGTAACGAGAGGCCGGAGAGACCGGAAACGTGGTGACTTCTGGGAGAGCCATGCTGTGCTGAGCCGGAAGGGCGCCCGAAGGCGGAGGGGTGGACCGGAAGTCAGCGCTCACTTTATTTTTGAAACAAATCTAATTTGACCTTACGTTAGCATCTTATTCCTGATGATCAGTATTTTATAAACGTTGAAAACTATCAGTACTCATGGTCTTGAGTAAATTGGGGAAATAAAGTCAAAACCCACACACTCTTCCCTCCCTGTCACCCCTCTGTTTAGCCTACATTACCTAGTCGTCCATCCCTATCTTCAGAGGCTCTCGCGGGGCAGGCCATTACGTCATTGCCTACTTTTTTTTTTTTTTTGCGGTATGCGGGCCTCTCACTGTTGTGGCCTCTCCCGTTGCGGAGCGCAGGCTCAGCGGCCATGGCTCACGGGCCCAGCCGCTCTGTGGCACGTGGGATCTTCCCGGACCGGGGCACGAACCCGTGTCCCCTGCATCGGCAGGCGGACCCTCAACCACTGTGCCACCAGGGAAGCCCCGTCATTGCCTACTTTTGCGATCCCTACCAGGTTTTTAAATTTAGAAGTGGACCTGCTGACACCATTAGCTATATCTGAACAGGATAAAAAAGGAATGGAAGGTTAAGTGAGAGCAATGTTTTTGTTTTTAAAAACGTCTCCATGAGTGTTTTTGAAGTTAAAAAAAAAAAAAAAAGGAACAGCTCCAAAGAGAAGTATATGTGATAGGTTTAAGGGACATTTATATCTGAAATAGTTGTTCCATTAATGTGTGTGTATGCTTGTATATTGCCAGGACTTCAAGGTTGATAATCCGAAGGCAAAGAGGAAAAAGAAAGTTATCAGTCTCTTCCTCTAAAGTTTAAAGTTCTCAGACTGTTTGGTTCGCAGAGCCCTTTGAGTAGCAGGCGAAGGTGCTTGACCCTACCTTCCGAAAAGTGTACTTAAACGCACCATCTTGCATAAAATTTTAGGAAGCTTATTAAAAATCCCAGGTCAACTTCCCTTCCTCTGTCTTCAGGGATGATAAGCCATCCAAAAGAACATTTATAAAATACATAAAAATAATTGTTGAAGTTGAAATAATTACAGATTAAAAGGTATATTTGGGATTAATTCAAAAGAATACAGTGTGGGTATTGGGCAGTGAGATGAGATAGGAGGAGAGGATATAGATGAGACAGAATTGGCTGTGAGTTAATGGTTGCTGAAACTAAGTTATTGGTACTTTGGAGTTCACTGCGCTATTTGCTGTAAGATCTATGCTATCTCAAGATGTAACACTTTATTCATTCCATTTTCAGATACACTCTTAACTTACTGGAATAAAGTATCTCCTCAGGAGCTCATAAACATCCTTATACTTCTAGAATAAGTTATATTAACTTATTTTCATAAAATTTCCTCTTATTTTTGGGAGCTTAATTTTTATACATAATAAAATATTACCCCCTTTCTGTTTTCAACAGCATATTTGTTAATAATGTAGGAAATGTTAAACTATTTTGATAGTTTAGAGGCTGATGTACAGGTTCTTCACACATAGATAGAAGAAAAACATGGAAATGAAATACTTGTGATATTATAGAGAACTCTAGCTAATAATAGTGCATCCTTGCAGACCATCAGGAGTCTTTCTGTGATATGGAAAACTGGAAGTGGCATCAGCTGTCCTAAATCATTCATTTAGAGCAGATGCTGGCTTAATGGAGCAGCTTAAATGTTGGAATTTAGAATTTGTACTCTTATGTAGAGCTGAGTAATTCTACTCACTTCAGAAATGCATATATATATATATATATATATATATATTTCCATATATATATATATATCTTCATTGCAAGGTCCTTAGGGAAAATAATCTAGCCTTTTTCCTAGGTGGAGGTTGGAAATTGTCCTATATTGTATGCTGAGCTATTTTTACGTCATTATTGAAAGCTAAAAGAAAAATTAGAATGAAATGTAAGAAATTTCTAAATAAATAGTACACATATATGATATCGTGTGTGTCTACCAAAACACAAAGAGGGTAATCTATGCATAAAAACTTAGTAAAGTCTTTCAAAATTTTGCAGAAGATGTCAGCAAATAAAAGTTATGATTAAAGAAACTACTCTAATTATATTGCAATGTTTACTAATGAAAATATATGATGTTGGGGATTTACTTTAAAAAAAATAAAGGCGGTAGGGAGTGTGGAGGGAGAGCATGGGACCTGTTTGGGGTATAAGTTAAGAATGGCCATGAGTTGATAATTGTTGAAGCTGGTGGGTGCTGGGTATGTGGGATTTAGTTTGCTGTCCTCTTTACTTTTGTATGTGTTTGAGATTTTCCATACTAGGAAGTATTTTAATGCCATTATAAAAAATATAGCAATTGCCCCAATTGCTTAAGAACCTTTTTAGGTGTCACTGACTGTGCTAGAGACCTTTGGTGTGATACACACTATAAAGTACAAGGGATGATTTGCATTGACGGTTTTTAAAAAAAAATATGTCATTAGAATTGTATATGAAGACATGGAGCTTTTTGGTGTTGATGTAACTGTAGCAAATAAATGTAGAAAGATATAATATGGCAAGTAGTTATTTGTATATTTATTTTTGTATACCGAAGCATTATTGTAATATGATTTTAAATGGGTCGTTCTTTGTGACACATGAATTTTCAAATATTACTTGTTAAAATGCAAAGTATGGTAATATCTTACTAACATGCTATTGTTTTTCTTTCTAGAGTATGTTTGTTTCACTTTAGATATATGGGGAAAAGAAGCAAGGTAATTCCCATAGCACTGCAATTTCCACTTTTTTTCTTCTCTTCCAACAGAGGGCAGTCTTAATTATGCCATGTATAACCTAGATGATTCATTTTGAGTTGACATTAAGATACCCATGATTTATTTAATGCGTGTCAACTCAAAGTTGAAATTAATCTGATGTGAACATTTTTTAAGTTTTCCAGAGGGTAATAGACTGATATGCAGAGTTTCTGCTCTAATCCTAGAACAGATGCTTGTCTCTTCTGAAGGATGTGAGAAAGGGCTAGATCAAGGGGAAGGCAGGAAATCGTAAAGTGAGGACAACTGTAAGATCTGTACTTTTATCTACAACCTGTCAGTACTCACCTCAGTTACTAACGTGAATAGAAATCCCCAACAGCAATTGGGACATGAACTATATATTATTTATTTCTTCTTTTTGCTGTGTAAGTCTTAGTGAAATAAATACTTAAGAAAATGTTTGAGGAACTGTAAGGAAAAGATTACTTATTTCAATAAGATATATTTCAGGGGTAGAGTTAGTCATTAAAGGAACTCAAATAGAATTCTTTTTTTAAGTAAGTTCCATGGCACTTCCAAAAATTAAAGAGGCTGTTTAGATGGGGTTTATTGCTGAGTCTCTGGAACACACTAATAATTCAAGGGATGATTTCCACTGTCTTCCCAGCACTGGGAACTGGTTTAGACCTAATATGGTAACTACCACCATGAACCTTAACCTCTAAGATTCTGCTGACCCGCCCTCTATGTTTATTAGAGGATAGACAAACTCTTTTTCTTCCTTAGTTCCTGTATTACCCGGTTGTAATTTTTTTAATGGAACCTTAAAATTAAAGGAAAACAAAGAAAAATGTGCAAATAGACATGTTTATAGAGTAAAAATTTCTGCTACAAGTTTAACTTGGGTCCAGAAACAGATTAGATAGGCACTCATTCTTAAACATCTAACGCCAGGAATTCTTCCACCTTACGTCAACTCCTAGTATCCCTCTCACTGTTTTCTCTGACTCTTGCCTTTCCTTACCTCCTGAGAAAAGACTGGATCTTATTGGAGTGTTGTCCACTTTACTCTGATATTTTTGAGAAGAAGAAGGGAAGTAAGAAACTCCCTCTAAAGTCCTTACTTGTATTCGTATAGTATAAACTATTTTAAATATACATTAAGCTTCATACAATTTCCAGTGATGCCTCATTGAAGCCAAGTAAATACTGAGCATAACACAGTGTTTATGTGGAAACCTAGTCATTTATTAGTTTAAAAAATCTAACGTTGAGATGTATTCTCAGAGTGCTCCATTTCCTAACTTTAACATTTATTTTAGGGTGCATGATGCCTGGATGTCAAAACACTTTGGAATAGACCGAAAATCACAAACCATGCCAGCTCTTCGAAACAGATCAGGAATAATGCAGGCCCGGCTTCAGCATCTTAGTAGCCTGGAAAGTTCATTTACACTTAATCACAGTAAGTGAAAAATGTGTGTAGGGTACCCATTTGAAACAGATATTAATACTATTTAATCTTAAAGAAGTACTGGCTTAAATCTCCAATACAATTGGTAATCATTTCCCATACATAGATACAATTGCATATCTCTGTTTATGAACAGTCATTTCACCATATGTGAATATATGATAAGATATGCATGGATTTTTCGGCAATTTTAGGTAATGATGGGTTTTTTTCTTAGTTCAATATCAAGGAAGTTAATTTTCCCTTTGAATTATTGTTCTTATATTATTTTACATTTGATATCCTTTATTCCTACTTTAATGCAGATAACGGCATCTTAATATAATAGTATGTATAATATTTGTTTAGAGTCACTATTGTTCATTCAGTGATCTTAAGGGATTATCCATGCTGAGCTGACCGCAGAAATCAAAGAACTGTAAATAGTATTTTGACAAAGATGTATTTCACACAGGTTGAAGTACTGACAAGTCGAATAGGACAAGGAGGAAGCTACAGGGTTATATAAATGGAAGCTATCCTCTGAGGAACAAATATTAATAAAAAAGTCAAAGAGTGAGATAAACGTTCATTTCCACACAGTCCTTTGGGGATTGCATAAAAGGAAGCCAGCAGAACTGGCTTTGCGATAGGGCTAATAATAAAAACAAATGTCTTGAGCAGATGGACCTGAGCTAATAGAGTCAAGACTTTTAAAAAAATGCAAGTCTTACAGCCTTCAGCTTTGCTCTTTGTCACTTGTAAAAATATCAGTATAATGAACCTATGTATTTCAGTTGGCCCAGATGCTTTGTTTTCCTCCTGATTTAGAAACGTCTCATACCATTGGCATCATTGAAAACATCTGGCCATAGGGCGCCACTGTATGTAATGTAGCTGCATTTCTATGAGTTTCTCATTTTTGCACACATAATTAACAGCACAGCCTAAAATGCCTCCTGCGTTATTTCCTGGTTACGTCACCATAGTTCATCACTGAAATCTTGTCTCCAAAGAAGTGGGCACCTAATTATTTGTTGCAGAGCTGTTGATACAGAGCTGAAGTAAAAATTAGTGGAATTGATTAACCCAGACCATATTTGATTAAGGAGTAAATACAGTGAAACTCATTAAGTCTGCAGGCATTGAAAGCCTGCTTTCTTTGTGTTTGTCTCTCTCTCTGAGTCTTTGGAGGAGAAAATCATTCAAAGCTGTTATGTGAATTTCTGTGTTGGGCAGTTTTAATTTTCTTTTTTTTTAAATCCCAGGTTCTGCAACAACTGAAGCAGACATTTTCCATCAGGCACTTCTTGAAGGCAATACTGCTACTGAAGTTTCCCTAACAGTACTAGATACCATATCATTTTTCACCCAGTGCTTCAAGGTAAACATGAAGAGTTAGAACTCAGTCGGTATCATTGAAAAGAAAATATTATGCAAAAACTAATTAGTCAGACGAAGCTTAGTATAGTATAAAAGCCCCCAGTGAGCAGTCAGGAAACTTGGATGGCAGACCTAGTTTGGCTCCTGTGTGACCTTGGGAAATCACTGAGACTCGTGTGCCACATCCATAAAATGAGAGGATTGGACTAATTTGCCCTGAATTTCCCTTCTCTTTTATTTTTCTGTTTAAAAAACAGTTTTCTTTCACACTTTTATGAAAATATCCAGTAATTTTTAGCCCAAATTATGATTGAGTCAGTTTATCCAAACACCCATTGTGATGAGGTATCTTGTCAAGCCAGATGATGTCCAGGCAGGCTGGCTGGCTGGCTTCCCTCGTCAGGTGCCTGGTGGTTTCTCTCAGATGCTTGCCTCTCGATACAAATCATCATTGCTAGGACTAAAAAATAATAATAAGAAGAAGAAATTAAAAGCAATTATCTTGCAGGGTTGTTGAAGGTGTAAAATGAGATAATGGATGTGAGAGTGCTTTGAAAAGTAAAGACTGTATAACTATAATGAAGGGTAACAGTAGTGGGAGAACTCAAAAGTGAAAACTCTTGCTGGCTTTTCATCTGAGTTATACAGATTCTTTTTCTTTTCTTCCCCCCTTCTCTAAGTAATTCAGTTAATTGCTTCAGCCCTCTGGATTTACTATGGAAACCTGGCCTGTGCTTTTCAAAGAGGCTTATCAGGGAAAACTGAATTAGATACTAATAAGAAATAGGCTGCAAAATCCCTTTATGAAGTATTAAGTTCTGATTAAAATGCAGCCCAAATTCATTTTTTATTGTGCCAGTAAGTAAGACATTTGGTCTCAAGGTTTGCATTGTATTCCTTCCTCCTATTCAAATACTTCTCATTTGTTTAACATACATCTCTTGGTAGATGTCAGGCACTATCCTAAGTGCTTTAGAAATATTAACCCACTTTTTTGTCGTGGGTCTGGAGGTGGAAAAGAGGACTGCAAATGGGCAGCAAGGATCTTTTTGAGATGATGGGAATGATTGGGTTGTAATGGTTGCAAAACCCTGGAAATTTACCAAAAATAATTGAATCATGTACTTAAAATAGGTAAATTTTGTGGTATGTAAATTATACCTTAATAAACTTAAAAGTACAAATGTGAACTCACCTTTAATCCTCACACTAGCTTCGTGATATAAATACTGTTATTTTTCCCATCTTAAAATGAGGAAACTGAGGCTCACAGGGAAGTTAATGTCACATAGGTGGTTAGTTAACAGAATCAGGATTCTGATCTAGGCCAGTTATCACAAGAGTCCATGCTTCTAACCACTACCCCATGCTTATTAGAAGTAGACTAACAGAAATATCAAACACCATTCAGGGATTCTGGCTATCAAGGTTACCATTAAATCTGTTAGAGGTTTGCATATTGTTTTGGTTCGTTGTTGTTATTTTTGGCCAAGTTGTAACCTGGTAATTAGTTTCTTGAGGGATAGGAGAGCAGGACTGGAGGTGTTAACCAATGCATTTTTTTTTAAAGTTTCACAAACCAATAGATATTTCTCTACAATTTGTTGTTTCTCTTATTTCTCTATTTGCAAGGAACATTTAAACAATTTACGTAGTCTGTTCAATTGTGATCCCTGTTATTATCTCTACTCATAGAGGGTTTAATTTGCACCAGTGGCTAAAGATATCTTAAACATACATTTAAAAGCAAATTAGATAATAGACTTTTAAAATGGAATTGATGTTTTCCTTAATTCTTACATTACTTTATCAGAGAAATACAAAGGCTGGTTACCTTGTATCCATTTTTAATTTACTGATTTCTGAATTGAGGAGCAATATGGTTAGGTTAATAGAAAATACTCTTCCCATACTAGTTCTGTATTTGCTGTGTTATACTGGAAAAAGATTTTTTTCATCTATTTAAAATTATGGAATTAAGTATAGATGTAGTTTATATAGTATTTTAAGATTTCCAAGTTGAAAGATGGCACAGATGATTTTAGATTATGTTAAACTTTTTATTGTTACTTTTCAAGCAGTGGTTTGATAAACAGGTTGTTGGTAAAGCCTGTTCTCTCATTCTGGGGGGAGCGGCATAAACTATTTCTGCAAATTTTTTTTCATGTTTTGTAGAGCCAAGTTTTAAATAATGATGGCCACAACCCGTTAATGAAAAAAGTATTTGATATTCATCTTGCTTTTCTTAAAAATGGGCAATCTGAAGTGTCGCTGAAACATGTCTTTGCCTCACTGCGAGCTTTCATTAGTAAGGTAAGAGCAGAGCTTTGTGGCTGCGAGTGGCCTTGCTTCATAGCAAGAAGGAAAGGGGAACAGGGATCATTGCGAAGACCTCTCCAAACCTCAGATAAGGACGCTATTAAATCCTACCTTTGTAAATATTAGAACAGCAAAATACGTAAAGAGGGCCTGACCAGGCATTCCCTAAAATCAGCACGTGCTTTTTATTTTGTCCTGTCATTCCTTTCTGAAGAGTATCATTTTAAAATTACCAACTGCCAGTTTTTCTTCTCTTTTGCTTCTTTTTAAAGTATTGTCATGCTGAAGATACATAAGCTGTGAGGGTACTCATGTATAAGCACTTCGAAAGCAGAGACCAAGTCTTATAACCCCAGGGCCTTGTATGATATCTTGCAAATTGTAGGCACTCAATGCATGTTCAGATGAATGAATCCTTCCTTTCAGTGCGAATTGTATCGGTGGGCTCTAAATGTTCAGGCCATTTACCCCATCTAAACTAAAACTTCAGACTAGGCTTTTAGGAATAAATATGACTGAAACAGATAGCAAGATTTATTTCTCATCTGGTTTTGATAGCTTTTAAACATACTTAAAAGCATCAGGAACCAAGATGCAGTTAAAATTAGGGAAAGGCACAGTCTAGGCCTCCACTCTAGTATGTGTACCTCCAACAAGACAAATTCAGTTAACCGATTTTTGTAATAGGATAGCTGAGCATGGAAAACTTTTTTGTCATTATTTGTATGGCAACTTACAGGGTTTAACTGATATAAAAATTAGGTGATCTTGAAGGTTTATTTTTAAATTGACGTTCTTTTTTTTAAAATTTTTTAATTTTTGGCTGCGTTGGGTCTTTGTTGCTGCACGCGGGCTTTCTCTAGTTGTGGCGAGTGGGGGCTATTCTTTGTTGCGGTGCGTGGGCTACTCATTGTGGTGGCTTCTCTTGTTGCGGAACATGGGCTCCATGTGTGCGGGCTTCAGTAGTTGTGGCACGTGGGCTCACTAGTTGTGACTCGCAGGCTCTAGAGCGCAGGCTCAGTAGTTGTGGCACAGGGGCTTAGTTGCTCCGCGGCATGTGGAATCTTCCCGGACCAGGGCTTGAACCCGTGTCCCCTGCATTGAGAGGCAGATTATTAACAGCTACGCCACCAGGGAAGCTCTAAATAGCCATTGTTTAATACAATTTTTTTAACATCTTTATTGGAGTATAATTGCTTTACAATGGTGTGTTAGTTTCTGCTTTAAAACAAAGTGAATCAGTTATACATATACATATGTTCCCATATCTCTTACCTCTTGCGTCTCCCTCCCTCCCCCCCTCCTAATCCCACCCCTCTAGGTGGTCACAAAGCACCGAGCTGATCTCCCTGTGCTATGCGGCTGCTGCCCCCCCAGCTATCTGTTTTACGTTTGGTAGTGTATATATGTCCATACCACTCTCTCGCTTTGTCACAGCTTACCCTTCCCCCTCCCCATATCCTCAAGTCCATTCTCTAGTAGGTCTGTGTCTTTATTCCTGCCTTACCCCTAGGTTCTTCATGACATTTTTTTTTCTTAAATTCCATATATATGTGTTAGCATACGGTATTTGTCTTTCTCTTTCTGACTTACTTCACTCTGTATGACAGACTCTTGGTCCATCCACCTCATTACAAATAGCTCAATTTCGTTTCTTTTTATGGCTGAGTAATATTCCATTGTATATATGTGCCGCATCTTCTTTATCCATTCATCCGATGATGGACACTTAGGTTGTTTCCATCTCCGGGCTATTGTAAATAGAGCTGCAATGAGCATTTTGGTACACGACTCTTTTTGAATTATGGTTTTCTCAGGGTATATGCCCAGTAGTGGGATTGCTGGGTCATATGGTAGTTCTATTTGTAGTTTTTTAAGGAACCTCCATACTGTTCTCCACAGTGGCTGTACCAATTCACATTCCCACCAGCAGTGCAAGAGGGTTCCCTTTTCTCCACACCCTCTCCAGCATTTATTGTTTGTAGATTTTTTGATGATGGCCATTCTGACTGGTGTGAGATGATATCTCATTGTAGTTTTGATTTGCATTTCTCTAATGATTAATGATGGTGAGCATTCTTTCATGTGTTTGTTGGCAGTCTGTATATCTTCTTTGGAGAAATGTCTGTTTAGGTCTTCAGCCCATTTTTGGATTGGGTTGTTTGTTTTTTTGTTATTGAGCTGCATGAGCTGCTTATAAATTTTGGAGATTAATCCTTTGTCAGTTGCTTCATTTGCAAATATTTTCTCCCATTCTGAGGGTTGTCTTTTGGTCTTGATTATGGTTTCCTTTGCTGTGCAAAAGCTTTGAAGTTTCATTAGGTCCCATTTGTTTATTTCTGTTTTAATTTCCATTTCTCTAGGAGGTGGGTCAAAAAGGATCTTGCTGTGATTTATGACATAGAGTGTTCTGCCTATGTTTTTCTCTAAGAGTTTGATAGTTTCTGGCCTTACATTTAGGTCTTTAATCCATTTTGAGCTTATTTTTGTGTATGGATTAGGGAGTGATCTAATCTCATACTTTTACATGTACGTGTCCAGTTTCCCCAGCACCACTTATTGAAGAGGCTGTCCTTTCTCCACTGTGCATTCCTGCCTCCTTTATCAAAGATAAGGTGACCATATGTGCGTGGGTTTATCTCTAGGCTTTCTATCCTGTACCATTGATCTATCTTTCTGTTT